CCCCCCCCCCCCGCCAATTAATAAATGGTAAGTTGAGATTTTGAAACTAGATCACTCTGACTTTAAAAACTTGTTTATCCACTACTATTTTCTTCTTATGTAATCCCCAGAATTGGATCATTGGATCAAATAATATGAACATTTGGCCCAAATGCTTTCCAAAAGAGTTGTACCACTCTTCATTGTGATTGATGTCTAACATTGGGGACAGTCTCTGTCAAACTCCATCTTACTTTGCTGTTACTTCCATTAAACTGGGTTGCTACTCAAGAAGAAAAACACTAATTCAATATAAACACTCAGTAATTCAATATATGGTATATTTACACTTCAGTACCCTTTTATCTATTTGACGTTTCCTTTTTTCTTGGTATGGTAGAATACTGAAAGGGTGAAGAGACCTGTTTCACAATTCAAAATACAGTCTTTTTTATTTTTTTTTTTTTTAAATTTTTTTTTTCAACGTTTTTTATTTATTTTTGGGACAGAGAGAGACAGAGCATGAACGGGGGAGGGGCAGAGAGAGAGGGAGACACAGAATCGGAAACCGGCTCCAGGCTCCGAGCCATCAGCCCAGAGCCTGACGCGGGGCTCGAACTCACGGACTGCAAGATCGTGACCTGGCTGAAATCGGACGCTTAACCGACTGCGCCACCCAGGCGCCCCGTAATACAGTCTTTTTTAAAAGTGCATTTCATATTTAGACTGCAGTTACCAGAAAGGAGAAATTTTGTTCCTTTGTATCTTAGAGAACTACATTTGAACTGTTCTTCTTAGAGTAAGTTTGCCTAATAAATTCTAGATTCCACTATGTAACTTCAACTTAAAACTTTGCATTCATGTGAAATGACCCTTTATCAGAAATTCTTTTTATTGAAATATGTGAGAAACTATCAGCTTACAAGATTGGAAACTCTTTGAGTACAAGCACCCATTATACTCATTTCTACATCTTATAATTTTATTTATTTTTTTTTTTAATTTTTTTTTTCAACGTTTTTTTTATTTATTTTTGGGACAGAGAGAGACAGAACATGAATGGGGGAGGGGCAGAGAGAGAGGGAGACACAGAATCGGAAACAGGCTCCAGGCTCCGAGCCATCAGCCCAGAGCCTGACGTGTGGCTCGAACTCATGGACCGCGAGATCGTGACCTGGCTGAAGTCGGACGCTTAACCGACTGCGCCACCCAGGCGCCCCTTATTTATTTTTTTAATGTTTATTTATTTTGAGAGAGGGAGAGTGTACAAGCAGGGGAGGGGTAAAGAGAGGAAGAGAGAGAATCCCAAGCAGGCTCCATACTGTCAGCACAGAACCTGGCGTGGGGCTCTATCTCACCAACCATGAGATCATCACCTGAGCCGAGTAACCAACTGAGCCACTTTGGCACCCCTCATTTCTACATCTAAAACAATGCTTTTCATAAGCAAACTCAGTAAATACTGAGTCACAAAGGGAGTGGTTATCTACTCTAGCCCTTGTTATTTCCAACTAAAAGATGTTGAAAATATTTTCAAGATTAATAGTTTTGTTTTTCAATTTTCAGAATGATTGACTGGCTGTCCTGGCCATTGGCTCAGCATGTGGACACATGGGTAATTGCACTCCTGAAAGGACTAGCAGCTGTCCAGAAGTTTACTATTTTGATAGATGTTACTTTACTGAAAATAGAACTGGTAAGTGGGAGTATTTAAATCTCTTCAAATGAATGGTCTCCTAATCAATGGTTTTATCTTTGAGTTGTCCCCTGTAAAGTATCTAATGTTGAGTATGTTCTTATTTTGGGTTTTGTTTTGAATAATAATTTTGAAACAGCCTTTAGAAACTGAAAATGGTATTTAAGTATAGGTAATTAAAATAGTTTTGCTGTTTTCAAGTATTGAATATGAAAACATTTCCTCCCATTATCTTCCTTTTTTAAAAATGTTTATTATTTTGAGTGAGAGAGTGCCTGTGCAAGTGCACGCACATGTGCGCACATGGGGGCAGTCAGAGAGAAGGGAGAGAGAATCCTAAGCAGGCTCCACACTGTCAGCACTAAAACCCTATGTGGGGATTGAACTCACAAACTGAGATCATGACCTGAGCCGAAGTCAAGAATAGGATGCGTAACTGAACCACCCAGGCGCCCCTCCTATTATCTTTTGCATCCAACTAATCAAGCTTGTGCCACCATCATTCAACCAAAACTATCTTTGACACCAGTGCTTTCCAGTATTGCTAAACTCAGAGTTGTTTCTCAGGCCTCCTCTCATTTAACCTATCAACAGCATTTGACAGTTGATCACTCCCTCTTGAAATACTTTCTTCACTTAGTTTTTGTCCCAGTTCACTTCTCTTTTTGTCCTGGTTCACTAGCATCTCAGTCTCTTATAGTGGATCTTTCTAACTTTAGAGTGCTTTAGAGTTTCTTTCATCTTTGATCCATTTTCTTCTCAATCCATACTCAGAGCATATATGTTCCATGGCTTTAAATAATGTTTCTAAGTTAACGACTGCCGGGTTTCTATTTCTCATTCATTATTTTCCCATAAACTCCATATTTACGTATCCACCTGTCTATACTTCGGTCTCAAATTCAACTTTTTCATGATAACCTCTGATTTTTCCCTCCCAGACTGGTCTTCCCCATCTTATATAGTTAATTCATCCTTCCACTTGCCCAGGCCAAAACCTTGAAGCTATCCTTCTCTCGTTTCATTCTCTCCCAGCTATTATCCTACAAATCCTGTTGATGCCACATTTAAAATATATCCAGAAGCCTATCACTTTTAACCAGCTACATCACTATCACTTTGGTCCAAAGCCATTATCATGCCTTGATGTACTGATTGCAGTAGTCTCCCTGCTCCTGCCCTTGGCCCCCCACAGGTGTCTTATAACTCCTACGTGATCTCGCCCACTGCTGCTTCTCTCATCAAATCTATTACTGCCTCAGTCTTTGTGCTTTGCTTACACTGCTCTCTTTGCTGTATCTCTAGTACAGCAAGCTGCAGGCCTCAGGGCCTTTGTAGTGCTTGGCATTTGCCTTGCTTATTATGCTTTTCTCCCAGGTATCTGCCAGGCTTATTCTCGTTTCCTTCAGTGTTTGATAGTCAGATGTCATCTTTTACATGAGTAATTTTTTGAATATCATAATATAATAGCAGACCCCGTTGCTACTCAGTCCCTGTTCTTCATAGCACTTGTCTCCATGTTACTTTTCATTGTCTACCCACCCTGTAGACAGTAAGCCTGATCGGATCAGAGTTTTTCTTTTAATCCACCGTTGTATCTTCAGTGTCTAGAACAATGCCGAGCAGTAGTAAGTACTCAGTAAATATTTGTTGAATGAATTGAATGAAGCGTGGGTCAAGGAACTATCACTTTGTAAATAAGGTTTGACAGATTTTTATTTGATCAAGGGGTTTTAAGAGTTATTTAGGCCACTGCATTCCCTTGATGTCAGTCATGTTGTTATCTCCCACCTTTCTCTCTCCCAGAGTTTAATAACATGTTATGATAGAACTTTCCAGAAAGGGGGTACTCAGGTACGTATTTTTGGTCCAAGGAAAATAACCGCTGACTGGGTTAATGATTTCCCTACAAACTCTTTAAGATGGATGTCTTATCTTTTTTGAAGGTTTTTAATCGACTTTGGTTTCCTCTTGTGAGACCTGGTGCTCTTGCAGTTCTTTCACATATGCTGCTTAGTTTTCAGCATTCTCCAGAAGCGTTCCATTTGGTAAGTTGGGACACAAGCTTTCTACATTGAAAAGCTTTGTTTTAAAATTTTAGTTTAATATTGAGTCACATTTACATGTAGTCAAAAGATCGTAAGTTAGTCCTGAATCTATTTTCTTGTAGCTTTATGATTTCTTAGAAAATTGAGGTGATGGGATTTCCCTCCAAAGAATATATTTCCGGAATGTCTGAGTCTCACCAAAACTGCTCCACTTGCAACCACTACCAGCAACTGAAAGTTATTGTTTTACGCGAGAGATGTCACATGTCCACATCACTGATGGTTGTCTTTTTCATGTATGAACAGTGTAGAAGAAGAAAAATGGTTTAAAACCACTGACTGCTCTAGAATTTCAGAAACGTGAAAACATCAATTGTGTTATAGCCCCAGAACTAAGACTTCATTCTCTCCCAGCGTATAACCTACAAATCCTGTTGACTCCACCTTTAAAATATATCTGGAATCCTACCACTTTTAATGAGCTACATCACTGGTTTTGATTTGATCTGATTTCAGTTATTTCGTTATCAGTTATTACAGGTGGAAATGATAAAATGTTATTCAGAGAACCTGTCCACTTATCTATCTAGCACATCACAGAAAGGCAGTGCTTTATCTGGTTACTTGCTTCCTCCAGGGTCTGATCCTCAGTTTAATAGGACTAGAACCTCATTATCAATCCAGCCACAATGTAAAAATCTTAGGAATGCGGACCCACTACAAGCAGATTCAAAGGAGACTGATGAATAAGTGCTGAATCCCAGTTGTTCATTGTTAGCTAGAAATATAACTAACTAGCCTCCGAGAACCATATACATGCATAGGCTGCTCAGTGCCTCACTGCCACTGAAGGAAAATCTGCAGGCTTTGTAGAAAGTAAACCTTACCAACAAGTAATTACATTATGCTTTGTCACTTAGGTTGTGTTATTCCAAGAATTTCTACAGTTAATTGCCTAATTGGTGATGTTGACCATCAACCAGTAACCTTATATTTGTTACACAAACAAAACTCAAAACTTAAGCTAATACAGCAGGTATACTAGCAGAGTCTAGTGAGAATTTCTACAGTTAATTGTTTAATTGGTGATCTTCACCATCAACCAATAACCTTATATCTGCTGGTTATACAAGCAAAGCTCAAAACTTGAGCTAATACATCAGGTGAACTAGCAAAGTTTAACAAGGTAAAGAACATCAGTTATTTGTGTCTCTTCAGGCACAGTCGTGTAGGCCAATTGAGAAAAGCTTTCTTTTCAGAATTTCTGGAAAGGAGATTCTCTAACATAACTTACTCATCCATTCTAATGTTCATTGCTCCTCAAACTGAGGACATTTCTTAATCTGTCTGATTAGTCATTTATGCCATACTCTAAACCCATTTCTTTGTTCACAGTTTTTTAAAAGATGGAAGATACTCCATATTGTTGTATTGCTTTTATATTCTGAAAAAAATATATAGTTTAAAAAAAATGGTTGACTGAAATATTTAGCTTATTGAAATATGAAATCATTTATTTAAGAAGTCATTAGATCTGAAATTAAAAGTTGTCATCTGGCTTAGTAAATTCTAAAAACTGATATCTAATTATTGCTTCCATACTATAAGCATGGTATATGTATATATACATACATATATATGTATATTTGTATAGCCAGACCAGCTACTCAACTAAAATGAACTTGAGCATCTAGTGGTAGTTAAATCAGCTGTAACTAATTCAGTGAAGGATTCAGGTTTAGAAGTTGTTGAGTATAAGCAATAATCTGGAATCACCATCACTCTTCATTACATTACCTGTTTATACTATTTTAGAGCAAACCAAGATTGATGTTATAATGTGTGTATTTATAGATCAAGTTACTTTTCTTATGCTTTTTATAAGTGGAAACAAATTTATACAAAAGAAAAATATCAAAGCTTCTAATAAGTTATATACATTGTCTCAAATAGTAACTTAAGTTTAATGAGTATTACAGTAATGTTGACAAATATTTAGGTTTTCTCATTCAAAAAATATCAACTTCCAAGCATTTAGAAGGTAATAGCCTGCTTGCACATATATATCTATGCCTATGAAAAACTTAGTCTCATTTCTATGTCAGTGATAATTTTAACCATATAGGATGTATAGCAGACAACTGTATTACCTGATTGCAAAGACCAGATCTACACTAGGAAGGCTTTTGGAAGATTTGGAAATAAATAATCATTTTTTTAGTTATTTTCTCTTCTTCTCTTCCACTTCTCTCTCTCTCTTTCTTTTCACCTGTGAGGAAACAAAATAATTTTGGATTTCTGACTATTTTAGCAAGAGAGTATCTGATAGAAATAGCCTTATGGAGCAAAATTATAACTCAGCTTTGCGTAGAAATGTAGAGATAATAGCAGCAGAGTGAACTCATTAGGAACTAATGGTTTCGTGGTCAAATTAATACCTTTGATGGAGGTAAGATTAAAGAAGGTAGTGCAAAAGCTAAAATGTAATTTTAAGATCTCCAGCATAGAATCAGAGCAAAAAGAGAATAGCAGCGTTAATTTAAGAATATGATTGTTCTTTTTAGGAGGAAGGAAAGAAAGTTGATTGTGATACTACTATAATTTGCCATTTGGAGACCATAAAACTTTAACTTCACTTTTATTACAACTAGGCAACCAAAAAATTGTTTTAGAAATAGAACATAATATTCTTAGATACCTTTTACATATGAAGTATAAATGTATAGTAATAGATTATAATTAATAATTAGTTGGAACAAGGATACCACTGTACTAATGGAATGAACCATTTAAGCAAAACAGGGTTTATTTGTTAATATCATCTTGAATACGTAATGGCAGTGTATTGACTTTAGCCTAATTTTATAATGAATGGACACTCTTGTGCTTATTATCAGTGCTGTTTTCTGTGTGTTTTTGAGCAATGAGCATTTTAGATTTCCCTTTTATTTTTAACCCCAGTTTCTTAGAAATTTCTGATTCCCTTTTAGAACCATCTCCTATTTTTGGAGGTGGAGAATGGCAGTTGTTAATAAGGATAACCATGCTAACATAAGACATCATTTATTTGCTTATCTAAAAGAAAGGTAATCCTATAGCCTGAGCTGTAATTTTAGTTACTTTACTTTCTTGAAGTAGACTTTAATGTGCAAAGTATATACAGCATTTAATTCTTTCAAGTGAAAAATCTAAAGTTCACACTAGATGGAGCCCTTAAGCTAATTCTCAGTTTATCTTTTAAAAATTTGTTTCTATTGTAAACAATCTGGTAAATATAATAATCCTAACATTTTTCAACTTAAGGCATTTTTCAGAATGGCAGGAGTGACTAAGCCTTCTATTTTGTACCTTAGTTTGTTTTAGATGGAGCATAAGGATGAGGAGAGGGGTCTCGTGGAATTAAAATTATATGTGACTTTGAAACTAGATTTACTTTGATACTCGAAATTTTTAACTTCTTGGCTTTTTTAGAAAAAGGCTGTGACTGAACATACAGAAAAGTATTTGCTGATCATGTAACATTTGCATTCCATTTGTAGGCTAGAGAATTTGTTGCCAATTTGTATAAATTGAAGAATGTTTGTCTTTTTTCTCTTCAGATTGTTCCTCATGTAGTTAATTTGGTTCACTCCTTCAAAAGCGATGGTCTGCCTTCCAGTACAGCCTTCTTAGTGCAGTTAACAGAATTGATACAGTGTATGATGTATCATTATTCTGGATTTCCAGATCTCTACGAACCTATTCTGGAAGCAATAAAGGTATGATGGTAGTTGCACCAGTATTTATGCAGCTGCAGACCATGATGTGATAGATGAATGTAGTGAAAGATTTCTATAACCAGCTATTCAATTTACTATTCTATATAATATGCATTTTGTTTGAAAAATGTAATTGGAATCAGGATTCATTAATATTTAGGAAGTAATCTCTTACTTGCTGTAACTAATCTGAGTTAATAACCATGTTTCTTTAGCTCTACAATGCCATCAATTATGAGGCATATCTTTAAATTTGTAACAGCCTGTGGGGCACCTAAGTGGCTCAGTCAGTTAAGCGTCCAACTCTTGATTTTGGCTCAGGTCATGCATGATCTCACGGGTTTGTGAGTTCAAGTCCTGCATTGGGCTCTGTGCTAACACTGCAGAGCCTGCTTGGGATTCTGTCTCTCTCCCTCTCTTTCTACTCCCGTCTCTCTCATTCTCTCTCTCTCTGTGTCTCCTCAAAATAAATAAATAAACGTAAAAAAATTTTATAACAACTCTTGGGGAAATTTGTTTAAAAAGAAATGGCACACGATCGCTTCTCAGACTTTTGGCAAAGATCAAGTGTAAAAAGAAATGCTACATTATGTAAATACATACATCACCATTGTATTCCTATATCAGAAGTGTTAAAATACATTAAGAATATCTTAGAATCCAGAAAGGCAGTTTAATAAAATATTTGACTTTGTTTCCTTACCTGTTTTTATTCCATTTATGCTGTGGACTATTCACGAATATCCATATTTTGTAGAATCTTTACTTGAGTTATTAGTGAACTTACCCTCCTTTTTTAACTTTGTATAGTTATTAGACCTAAAAAGCACTGATTCTGTTTGTCTTAAAGAATGGGTCACAATGTGTACACTTTACTCAGTAAACTTACTGCATGATCAGGGTATAGCAAAAGAATTGGAGAACTTGCCTCAGCCAGAACTAATCAGAAGTTATTAGAAATCAGTTGTGTTAGTAATGTGTTTTTTTGAAATGTTAAATTTTGAGATCTTAAATACAAGATAAATCTCAATATCTTTATTACTTCTTCTGTATCTGAAATGAATGCAAAGCTTATTCTTTTTACTATATGGGTGAAGTCAAATTGATTTTGGTTGAACCCAGAACACAAGATTCTTGCACAATTAATGTATACTGCTGGTATGGCACTTTGATATTTATATATGTCTTTGTGTAAAGGAGCTTTTTATCATAGATTCAATAGTAATGTTAATGTCTTTCTACGATGTCTTTCTGTGTCCATAGATGAAACCTCTTGCTGTTTGTTATTTTTCAGTGGTTTACATATTGAGAATTCTGATAACTGAACTAGGCTCAGAAGAAGCAAGGTTCTCACTCTAAACCCAAGGGAAGCACTTTTCTATTAGCTGGCAACAATAGCAAGAAAATCAAGAGATTAAAATTCTTTCAGAAAATATTTGTTTTCTAAGGTCTAAGTACCAGATGGTAATAGCAGTCCAAAAAAGGTTGAATGATGTTACCAACTTTCATTATTCTCCATTGTTCTATTCGTGCTTGAATTCACTTTGATTTAAAATTGTATCTCATATGTCATAGAGCACATAAAAGAATCTGTATCTTGTAATAATTTTCTATATTGTTAAACACGACATTGAGTTTTATTTTTCAAAGTCAGCGGTCATTGTGCTTAGATGATTTTCATTTTTTATGCGCAGATTACTTTGAGCTTTTATTTCTAAGGGTTAATATTGAATAAATATTAGTGAATGAAAAAGAGATATTTTTTATTTTTACTAGAAAATTTGAAAGCAAATTATTTATTCAATTATGTGTTAAGTCCATGTTCTGTTGCCTTTGAATAGCACTACAGTATACCTTGATCTCAAAGTTTTGAAACATTCTTCTGACAAATTGGAAACACAAATAGTTCAAATGTGATTTGAATTCCTTGTTCTTGAATATTCCTCAACTTAATAAACTCTACCCTTAGGATGTATATATTTATTTTAGGACACTTATTTTTTCCATGTAAAATAATGTAATTTTTTGATGACTGGTCAAGTTCTATAGGTGATTTCAAAAGTAAGTAAGTGAAAGATGGGGCGCCTGGGTGGCTCAGTCAGTTAAGCATCCAACTTCGGCTCAGGTCATGATCTCGCAGTTTGTGGGTTCAAGCCCCGTGTTGGGCTCTGTGCTAACAGCTCAGAGCCTGGAGCCTGCTTCAGATTCTGTGTGTGTCTCTGTCTCTCTCTCTCTCTCTCTCTCTCTCTCTCTCTCTCTCTCTCTCTCTCTCTCTCTCTCTCTCTCTGCCCCTCCCCTGCTCACACTCTGTCTCTGTCTCTCAAAAATAAAATAAAATTTAAAAAAATTCAAAATAAAAAGCTTCTGCCAAAAAACAAATAATCCAGTGAAGAAATGGGTAAAAGACATGAATAGACACGTCTCCAAGGAAGACATCCGGATGGCCAACCAATACATGAAAAAGTGCTCAACATCACTCATCATCTGGGAAATACAAATCAAAACCACAATGAGATACCACCTTACACCTGTCAGAATGGCTAACATTAACAACTCAGGCAACAACAGATATTGGTGAGGATGCAGAGAAAGAGGATCTCTTTTGGATTGTTGGTGGGAATGCAAGCTGGTGCAGCCACTCTGGAAAACAGTATGGAGGTTCCTCAAAAAACTAAAAATAGAACTACCCTACGACCCAGCAATTGCACTACTAGGCATTTATCCATGGGATACAGGTGTGCTGTTTCGAAGGGACACCTGCACCCCCATGTTTATAGCAGCACTATCAACAATAGCCAAACTATTGGAAAGAGCCCAGATGTCCATCAGTGGATGAATGGATAAAGAAGAGGTGGTATATCTATACAATGGAGCATTACTTGGCAATCAAAAAGAATGAAATCTTGCCATTTGCAACTACGTGGATGGCACTGGAGGGTATTATGCTAAGTGAAATTAGAGAAAGACAAAAATCCTATGACTTCACTCGTATGAGGACTTTAAGAGACATAACAGATGAACATAAGGGAAGGGAAACAAGAATATAAAAACAGGAAGAGGGGACAAAACAGACAAGACTCATAAACATGGAGAACAAACTGAGGGTTACTGGAGGGGTTGTGGAAGGGGGGATGGGCTAAATAGGTAAGGGGCATTAAGGGATCTACTCCTGAAATCATCGTTTCACTCTATGCTAACTAATTTGGATGTAAATTTTAAAAAATAAAATTAAAAAAAAATAAGTAGAAGGAAAGAAAGGTTAAATGTCAGCAGAAGAATCTTCTTTATGGTGTTAATAACAAAAATGGTTTATATTTTTAAACTATTTCTCCTCTTTATGATCTACAGGATTTTCCTAAGCCCAGTGAAGAGAAGATTAAATTAATTCTCAATCAAAGTGCCTGGACTTCTCAATCCAATTCTTTGGCATCTTGCTTGTCTAGACTTTCTGGAAAATCTGAAACTGGGAAAACTGGCCTCATTAATCTAGGAAATACATGTTATATGAACAGTGTTATACAAGCATTGTTTATGGCCACAGAGTAAGTTTAAATTTGAACATTTTGTTTTTTAACTCTAGAAATTGATACATAGTGATGAAATGTAAGATAATGGTTTTGTCTTCACATTATTTCTTATATATGGCAGAAATTTTAATATTTTTATATAATTGCCTTACTCAGAAATGAAATTGCTCTTAGTGCTCAGGAACTATTAAATGTTAACTTATATAAATTCTACTTTACATTTATATTATGTATTGCATTTAGAATATTCTGAATGATGATATTTTTTAGTATAACAGGGATTAAGTGAGCACATTCCAAAGAGTTTAAGTGTCCTCAAGTACTAATTTATTATTACCTTGTAAGACAGTGTATTTTTAACCTATATGTCTTTTAAGGGAGTTATGTTTAGTTTTTCCTGCTTGCAGGTATTTTGCTGTTTATCAGATTAATAACTTCTTCATTGCTGCTAAAGTTTAAGCTCTATTTCCCACCTCAAGTTGATAAATAATAAACAAATGTATAAATGTATATCTTTGTCCTCATACAGATTTACTTTCAAATTCACTTTCTTTTGCAGCCAAGCAAATAGGAAATCAGAGGTTGTTAGCTATGTGAGTGCTATCTGTAAAAGTACAAAATAATGATAAAATTTTCCAAAAGGCAAAAACTTGGTTGAATTTTTCTCTTCAGTACCAATAGAGTATTTATGGAACTTGACCACAGATCTTTACCAATTGAGTTCCAAGCCTTTGTAAGTTTTTATGCCTACCTAGAGGAATCACAAACTAAAAGATGAAGAGTTAGGTTTATTTTCTGGCCCCAGAATCTACTACCAACACTAAGGTGTTTTTTTGTTTGGCTTAGTGTTTTATTTTTTTAATTTGTTTGTATTTGAAATCTTTAATTAAAAAAAAAAAAAATGTATACTCTTCCTCACAAGTAATACTGTGCATGAAACTGAATTCAAATCTGTATCTCACCACCAGAGGTCATCTAGGCCTGCTGTCTCATTTTACAGAGGATAGTGAAAGGAGAGACCCAAAGCAATTATAACCAGGAACAGCAATTCAAAGAGCTTCAAAGAGTATCATCTTTTTGTATGATACTATGATACTGTCTAAGAAAAGGCAGATAGTATATTTTATTCCTTTGGTAGTAATGTAAGTTCTTTGTGGTTTAAAAAATTAAATTTGGAAGTGTATAAAATAAAAATTAAACATGAAAAAAAATTCCCATCCCCAAAGGTCATTTGTTAGCAGTTTTGTGTGCATCATTTGAGACCATTTTTTTACAGTTATAAGATTTTATCTAGAAGAAGAACAAATGCTATTTAAAAAAAGTTTTTTTAAATACTTATAATCTTATTTTTAAAATGTTTTTTAAAAAATATTCATAATCCTATTTATATGCTTTTTCCCAGCACTTGCTTTTATCTTTTAATGATTCCGGTTGGAAGTATTCCCGTGATAGGGTAGTGACAGAACTGTCATTCTGAATAAATAGACTTATTGTATATTTTATTTGACCATACTCCTATTGGTGAATATTAAGTTATTTTACTCATAATTAACATCTCTCTGCTCTTGTGCAGATGTATAGGATTTGCTTTGAATAGGGTTTGCCAAATTGCTCTCCAGAAAGACTATGGCATTTGAACTTGCATACTAATATATAATTGTACCTGTGACCCCATACCTTTAGCAGTACTTGATATAATTAGTCTTTGAAATATTTTCTAATTGGGGGAAAAATGTCTTTTTGCTTTAATTTGCAATATCGCTGACCATTACAGAGTTTTCCCTCCCTATTTTTCTTTGTTCATTTGTGTTTGTTTTCTGAATAACCTATTCTTTAATTTTGTGCACGTTTCTTTTGGGTCTTTTTCTTTTTCATATTGATTTATATGTACTCTGGATGATAGTCTTTCATTACATTCTCTCTTCGTATCAGTGTGATTCAAATTTGTAGAGTGCTTCATTTATAGTTTTTGTTTTATACAGCGAGATCAGTTATTTGTCATCTGTGGGGTCTGAATTATAAGAAGTCTTCCCCCTCTCCATTCCCCCCCCCCTTTTTTTCCTTTTAAGTACTTCTGTAGTTTTGTATTTCACATTTAGCTCATTTTTCCTCTGTGGCATTTGTAATAATGTAAAATTTTATCTAATTCCACTTTTTTCAAAATGGATACCCAATTGTTTCTGTTATCTTTTTTGAATAATTTCTCCTTTTCCCACCCTGTACTTGTACCACACCCATTAAATAACTCTAACTTTACAGTATGTTTTGTTGACAACACATTTTTTTTATTTCATGCTGGTATGAAAGAATTTAAGTTATTAACTGATACCGTAATTCATTTCTATTTGCTAATCCAGAAAATAGGAATAATTTACAACAGTACATGGGCCATTGCCCAGTCCCATAGTAACTGTTAATTTATTGTCATTCTTCCCTTCCTTCTTCACTTCATTGTAAGTAGTAACTTTGCTAAGTGAAGGGCCATCAAATGAATCAAATTTTACTTTGAGGATAATAAGTTCTTGAACTAACTTCCTTTTAGCTTTTAATAAATGCGTGTGTGTGTACACATGTGTACAAAAATCACTATGTTTTATTCTCTTACAGTTTCAGGAGGCAAGTATTATCTTTAAATCTAAATGGGTGCAATTCATTAATGAAAAAATTACAGCATCTTTTTGCCTTTTTGGCCCATACACAGGTGAGTTGTGTGTGTAGTTATATATATGTTAACTTCCTTGCACATTGTTCCAAACTTGGTGAATCTTTTTAATACATATGTGACCATTTAACATATATTAAATCCACTTAGATATACTAAAGAGATCCTGCCTAAAATCACGGTATGATCGAAGTTTTTATTTCTTCCTCCTGTTTTCCATTCTTGTAGATGAATATTATACTGACCCTTTGTTCTAATTATAGATAAAATCTGATTTTCTATCCAATAAATAAGCTTCTACATAAGTCTTTTTAAATGCATATTTAATAGGTTATAGATACTAAATGGATATATTTTTCATAATAATGAACAATTAAAATAATTTTATGGTACATTGGCTTCATTTTCTCCTGTTTCTAATAATATGTACCTTCTCACTATGTCCAAAATGTTAAGCTCTTGAATTTAATGGATAAACAACTTCATCTGTTATGTTCTAGGGCCTAAAATTTTAAGATGATCTTTTATATCCACACATTAATCCAAGGAAGTGAATTTATGCTACTGGCAAGAAAGTCACATATAGTAAACATTCATTCAATAGACATTTTTGAGAGACCCAATATGGAGTCTGATAAGTATTCAAAGAGGAATCCTTATGCTCAAGGAACTTTAAGTTTTGAGCAATACATATGAATGATACATATATATCATTTATAAATGATGTATATTATTTCCTGGTGTTGCTCTGATTATGTTAGTTTCACAGAGGTCTAAAGGAGTAGGTAGGTAGAGGCAGAAAGATAGCTTCAAGATTGGTGGGACGAGTTGATAAGAATGCCTTGTTTCCTATCTACAAGCTATGAAATAGCTCAAGTATAACTTTTTAAATGGAAAAAAATTAACATATGAGCGATGGCCTATAAGTAGCAATATACTCAGAAATAATTTTATTCACTTTCTGAGGGAAGTATGTTCACAAATTAAATTTAACATCTCAGGACCAAGGGAGATGAAATCTCTACCCTCCAACTGGCAAATAGTATTTTTCCAAGTAAATTGACTTATATATTTGCTTTATCACTAGTCTACATTTACTGCATATCGTATATGATATATATCTGTGTATATGTAGATGTAAATACATTACATATACTATATTGTGTACTGTATTACATTATTAAACCAGAGTTGTTAGAAAACACCATAGGAGGGTTCCATGTTCCCTAGAAAAGAAGAAAGAACACACAAGAGAACCTAATTAAAGTTCTGTCACAGTTGAGACCCTGTCTGATAGCAAGCCAACAAGGATTATTTTAGGTAGGTAGATTGCCCTATATAATTGAAAAGGCTTTTTTTTTTTTAGTTGATAAAGCTAACATATAATGAGCATTTAAATTTGCCTAGCTTCGGGGCGCCTGGGTGGCGCAGTCGGTTAAGCGTCCGACTTCAGCCAGGTCACGATCTCGTGGTCCATGAGTTCGAGCCCCACGTCGGGCTCTGGGCTGATGGCTCAGAGCCTGGAGCCTGTTTCCGATTCTGTGTCTCCCTCTCTCTCTGCCCCTCCCCCGTTCATGCTCTGTCTCTCTCTGTCCCAAAAATAAATAAGAAAAAAAAAAAAAAACGTTGAAAAAAAATAAATTTGCCTAGCTTCTGTGCAAAGTAGTTTACATGTATTATCTCTTAATCCTCAAAAACCATCTATGAGGTAATAAGATAGATAGTATCCTTGTTTTATAGATGAAGGAAGTGAGTTTATGTCACATGCTTTTCAGGGTCATGCTAACAAGTGACAAGTGGGGATGTGAACTAAATGACTCTAGAACTCATGTTCAGTCAGTATGCTAAAGTTCGTTCCTTCAAAATACTATCAATACGCATACTTGGATAAGTTTTTTCTTAACTGAGGACTCTGCTATATACCACATACATTCAAAATGTCAGAATTCTAAAGTTTCAAGTTATAATCACATCTTTTCAGATGCCCTTTTAATTCCTTTTTGTTGTCGCAGAATCTAGGATTTGAACCAAGATTGCTACAAAGTCCATGAGCAACCATTTCACTAAACTCCATGCTAAAAAAATAAAATCAACAAGGACCCTAAACATAGTGCTTACATTCTGTACATTTATGAAATGTGTACCTGGTCAAAGAAATTTTCACCCAAAGTAGATATGCATGGCCCTGTAGAGTTGTCCCCTTATTACTTTACCCAAAATATATATTGGATATATTTATATATAGATATTAACATGTCTTTTTCAAATTTGGTTTTTCAAAAAATTATGGACTCAAGCACGTGACTGTCATAGGAGGGATAATGCCAGTAACATTATGTTAAGTGTTCGAGAGATCTGGGTTCTAATTGGCTCCCTCTGGCACTAATTTAGCTGTATGACCTTGGGCAAGTCACATGTTTCTTTAGATGATAATTCTTACCTGCAGAATGAGAAGTTGTGGCTGAAGATTACCTAAATTTAGTTGTAGCACTTTGTAGTAAGGTTAAGCACAGTGTAATTTTATTAAACCTGTATTAAGATTTCAGTTATTTGATTCATGGTGTGAGAATCACTTCCTTGTATTTTCTCTACTGATATCAAAAGAGAGAAGCATATGCACCTCGGGTGTTCTTTGAGGCTTCCAGACCTCCATGGTTTACCCCCAGATCCCAACAAGACTGTTCTGAATACCTCAGGTTTCTGCTAGACAGGTAAAAAGCATTTTTAAAGTTATGATTTAAATTTTCTTTCATAACAGATTATTTCTATAGCATATTGGTTTTGCCTTTAAAAATATATTTCAAGTGTTAATCTTTAAAATACCTTGCATTCATTGTATGTATTTAAGTGTTCTTTTGTTTTTAATTTGGTTTCTTCTGTTGATTTTCTTACTTTGGAACAGCTGTTCTCATAGTGTAGTACAAAGACCTCCTGTGGGTTCGTCAAACATTTTCAGGGGTCTTCCCTTCTAACTCTGTATCTGTAGATCTGTAATTGAGGCCAGATTTTCTTCATATGCTTCATCCAGAACAACATATCACAATAGATTGAATGATACAAGGATCCAGCTGCCTTCTATTAAGCCAGATACTTGAAATACTTGCAAAATATAAAACAATGCCATTCTTCTCACTAAATTTTTTGGTTTTAGAAAATATAATTTTTTCATAATATTATTAACATTAACATGTAATGGCTTTATTATTGTTTTTAAATATTACTTTTATTCTCAGCTTTTGAATACAGTAAATACTGGTGGATATAACCACACGAATGAAAGCTCTTGGGTTCCTCAATTACTTTTAGGAGTATAAAGAGGTCCTGAGACCAAAAAATTTAATATTTGCTCCTTTAGACCAGTTCATATTTAGATGGGTTTGGTATATTTAATGGTCTTCTTACCACTTAGTTAATAAAACCTATATCTTTTTCCTTCTCTTTGTGATTGCCTCCCTTCTGTTACGTAAATGACTAGTAAAGTTAGTTGAACTCAACATATGCAATCTTCTGTTGATTCAGGTAAGGACATGTTGAGTGGTTTCTTTATTCCAGGCTTTCTATGAGATGTCAGGCAGACAAAGATACAGAAGATAAATAATAGGCATATATAATTTACTAAAGAAAGTATGAGAATATAAGGTAGTGATAACCCCTAACTTGTAATCTACATTCTCAAACTATTCAGTGGTCCTATTGATTGAAAGAGGAGAAACTTGATTTTTTACATTAAGCATTATATTTGATGAAAGTAATTTGGCTGTATATGTAAGGCCCCAATATTTTTAAATAAGTGACATTTAAACTTAAGTGAAGTAGCTATATAATGATATACTCTCCTACAGGCTACATGAAGAAGAAAAGATCTTGCAAGTTCAGTCCTCACACAAGCCTCCTTCAAGTCTGGGGTGCAATGAAACTTCTTTCCAGGAAGTGGCGAGCAAGGCAGCTGTACTAACAGAGAGCCCTTGCACAAGTGAGGGTGAGAAGACTTTAATAGAAAAAATGTTTGGAGGAAAACTACGAACTCACATATGTTGTTTGAACTGCAGGAGTACCTCACAAAAAGTGGAAGCCTTTACTGATCTTTCACTGGCCTTTTGTCCTTCCTCTTCTATCGAAAATTTATCTTTTCAAGATGCAGCATCATCACCCAATACACAAGATGGCGATCTAATGCAAGCCAGTATACCTTCAGAAGAACCAGGAGTTTATAGTCCAGCAACAGCTGCCTTTGTTTGTGATTCAGCTGTGAATGAAAGAATGTCACACAGTCCTCCTGATGAGTTTTGCTATACTGATAACACTTCTGTCCCTCATGAATCTAGCAAGATTCTTGTTAATAAAGATGTACCTCAGAGACCAGGAGGTGGAAGCACACCTTCAGTCACCGACTTACTAAATTATTTTTTGGCTCCAGAGATTCTTACTGGCGACAACCAGTATTATTGTGAAAACTGTGCCTCTCTGCAGAATGCCGAGAAAACTATGCAAATCACAGAGGAGCCTGAATACCTTATTCTTACTCTCCTGAGATTTTCATATGATCAGAAGTATCATGTGAGAAGAAAAATCTTAGACAATGTGTCCCTGCCACTGGTTTTGGAGTTGCCAGTTAAAAGAACTACTTTCTCTTCATTGTCAGAAAGTTGGTCGATAGATGTTGACTTCACTGATATTAGTGAGAACCTAGCTAAAAAATTAAAGTCTTCTGGAACTGAAGAAGCTTGCTGCTCCAGATTGGTGCCGTATCTGTTAAGTTCTGTTGTCGTTCACTCTGGTATCTCCTCTGAAAGTGGGCATTACTATTCTTATGCCAGAAACATCACGGGTACAGAGTCCTCATACCAGATGTGCCACCAGTCTGAAACTCTGGCATTAGCGTCCTCCCAGAGTCATTTACTCGGGAGAAATAGTCCCAGTGCAGTTATTGAACAAGATTTAGAAAATAAGGAAATGTCAAAAGAATGGTTTTTATTTAATGACAGCAGAGTGACATTTACTTCATTTCAGTCAGTGCAGAAAATTACGAGTAGGTTTCCAAAGGACACAGCTTATGTGCTTTTGTATAAAAAACAGAGTAGCACTAATAGTTTAAGTGGTAACAATTCAACCAGTGGACTCTGGGTAAATGGCGACCCACCTCTACAGAAAGAACTTATGGATGCTATAACAAAAGACAATAAACTATATTTACAGGTAAGTTGGAAACATACGCTTCATCATTTGTGGTGAAGCAATTGACAGTGGTGAAATGAGTGCCCTAATTTTAAAACGCAACTTAGACATTTTCAAGGAATTTACAGAGTAGTAATTCTGAAATTTGAGTCTGGGTTTATGTGAAATGGGTTCAGCCTATATAAATTATCTTGCTTTCTAATGTTATGAATTAATTATGAATAGTTGCAATTAGATACAGTGTGAAGGACCTCACTTGTCTTTAATTTACAAAAGATGTGATCATTGTAAAATCATTCCATACTGAAATATAGGAAGTTCCCTCTTCCCTTCAATCCTACCTACCAGGGGGAAACAACTACTGTTTGGTATTTACTCCTACTAGACTATTGTATAAATATTTTAAGGGTAATTATTAACATTCGGGTGAGTAAGATAAAAGACACTGCAAGGTAGAATATGTAAAAAAAGGTATTTGTATTCTTTAAAGACTTAAGCAATAAAACCAAGAAGATAATAGAATAATTAGTGTATAAAAGCCATGGAACAAAGGTTTCATGTGAGCTGAACTTACTTACAAATATACTTTTTGCAGGAAGTTAGTGATTTTACTACTTAAAAGTTAATAAAGACCTTGCTGCAAGTGTTTTTCTTTGAAACCTGCCAACTTGTTACCAGCATAAGGACCAAAACTAAATTATCAGTGAAATTGTAGGGATATTCATTGGGTAGTCCAAGTGATTTTATGAGTCTACATAAGTAAGCTCTAAAAATCTTGTGTTTGAAACTCAGAAAGCTGAAAAATACAGATGGAGTAAGAGAAGAATTGGGTCACTATAGTATTTATTTTGAGAGGAAAGTTTTCTCAAAGGTATTCAAATTGACTGCATTATAAAATATTCAAATAATGATACATGATACATTGTTAAACGAGTATGGCAATGTTCTAGAGTAACACAAAAATAATACGTTTCACAGAAAAAAATTAGAAACTCAGAATATTTATTAAACCTGATTTACCACCAAAGATTATTACATCCAGTCAGAAGGCTTATGATCAAGGTAATAGAATGTATTCAACCCTATCCTTCTTGCTAGATTTCAAATAAGCACTAGAGGGGCGCCTGGGTGGCTCAGTCGGTTAAGCGTCCGACTTCGGCTCAGGTCATGATCTCGCGGTTCGTGAGTTCAAGCCCCATGTCGGGCTCTGTGCTGATGGCTCAGAGCCTGGAGCCTGTTTCAGATTCTGTGTCTCCCTCTCTCTCTGACCCTCCCCTGTTCATGCTCTGTCTCTCTCTCTCTCTCAAAAATAAATAAAGGTTAAAAAAAAATTTTTTTCAAATAAGCACTAGATATTAATAGTCATGATTCTTGAAGATTAGAGAATAGGAGTAAGGGCAAGAGGGTTAGGTTGGAATAGGAATTTTCTGTAATTTAAAATGTAGAAAATAAGACTCAGTGCAATCTTGATTTATAGCAATATGCAGATTATTTATCAATGATTGAGTAAAATAGCATATTTATCAAAGGGGGGACATGGGTTTTAAAAAGATGAGGAACTGCTCTGTTTCTGTGATTGGATTGCCAAAAATTCTTATAACCATAACAACTACTTCATTACAGCCTACCTCTAAATGATTTTCTTATTCTTACTATTTACCCCATTACAATATTTACAATATCTGAGTGTGAGGAGCCATTCTTTTCATTATTGTTTTAAGGCCTTTATGTCACTGTAAAGGAAACTATTATGTACTTTGTTAATGCAGTTTTTCAGTGTTTGCAATTGTTCTAAATTCCATCGTAAGTCTCAAATTGGCAAGTTGTTTAATGTAAAAATGATACTGCCAAATCTTACATTAAGATTTTTATGTTCCAGTATTAAGACAGGCTATTAAGTCAAAGCTTATTACCAAAGTACCTTTTTAAAGCAAATTATAAATACTCAACTCTTATTTAGAAACTTAAACATTTATAATTGTCTTATTTGCTTTTAAATACAATCATGTAATTGATTTGTGCTGATTTGAATTGTGATGGTTCTCACTACTCATACTATTTAACTGAATCATCCTAGTATTTTAAGTTTGTGTTAAGAGACTATGTTGTTTTGAACACGTGGAACGTGTATATATATGGTTTTGTTCTTTTTTTTTTTTTTTTTACATTTTTGAGATATAGTTCAAAGTCTGTGCTCATTTCATAGTAATAATGCTTTAAAATAGATTGCTGTGTCAAGAATATGTTAGTTTTAAGATACAGCTTTATACCTATTTGTAAAACAATTATAAAAATTTAATCCAGGGGCGCCTGGGTGGCGCAGTCGGTTAAGCGTCCGACTTCAACCAGGTCACGATCTCACGGTCCGTGAGTTCGAGCCCCGCGTCGGGCTCTGGGCTGATGGCTCAGAGCCTGGAGCCTGTTTCCAATTCTGTGTCTCCCTCTCTCTCTGCCCCTCGCCCGTTCATGCTCTGTCTCTCTCTGTCCCAAAAAAAAAAAAAAAAAAAAAAAATTTAATCCAGTCTAAGTAAAGTAAGGATGTGGAGTGGACATTTTGAGTTCCTTTGCTACTAAGTAGTACTGCAAATGAATTTACCAATTTAGTACATATCAGGGTAGCTACTTTTCTAGTTTTTCACATTACATTAGAAATTCATCTTGTATCATTTTAACAAGCTCTTTTTGGGATTCCATTTTTAAATTTTACTAAAATCACATCTAGATTGACATGTGTTAGAAAGAAACTTGGTGAGATGAGTAGTTTTGAAAAGCCTGGGCAAAAAATCCTGTATGACCAAACCATTTTCTGTGTGTGTCATAGCTTGTGTGTGCACATAGGATAGCAGTACAGATTGTGGATCTCGAAGTAAATTTGGGGAAGGGCTTTTTTCTTTCTTTCTTTCTTTCCCTTCAGTCCAACTTCCATAAGGAGTATCTCTATTATTTTAGTGTCTGGACTATAAAAATTATGCTTTTGTTTAGGATCCAGTGAGACAAAGATTGTGAAAGTAGCACCAGCACGGCACTGTGAAGATCACCAGCTATCCCCACATGTCCCGCATCAACTACAGACAGAGCTTCTGTCCTTTCCTGTTTGGTTTCTTTCCTGTTTCTTTAGAGGACATGGTAGCTTAATGTCTTAGTATGTTTCTTTATTGTACATACAGAAGAGTATATGTAATATATATGTGTAGTTTAAAGAAAGATAAAAGATGGATTATTGTAATGTTAACATAGTTAACTTGAGTGAGAGATCTAAATATTCTGAAAGTTATGTGTCCCAAAGCAACAGTAACTAACTCCAAGCTGATAGTCCACTACTGAAATAACTGATTTTAATACCTGATGTAAAATTGGAATATAAATTCTAGATGCTATGAGAATCATATTTTTTTTTACATACAATGTCACAATGTCACACAATGCTCACATCTATATTAAAAGAAAATGAGGGGCGCCTGGGTGGCGCAGTCGGTTGAGCGTCCGACTTCAGCCAGGTCACGATCTCGCGGTCCGTGAGTTCGAGCCCCGCGTCAGGCTCTGGGCTGATGGCTCAGAGCCTGGAGCCTGTTTCTGATTCTGTGTCTCCCTCTCTCTCTGCCCCTCCCCCGTTCATGCTCTGTCTCTCTCTGTCCCAAAAATAAATAAACGTTGAAAAAAAAAAATTAAAAAAAAAAATAAAAAAATAAAAGAAAATGAAAGGCAGTTTTCCCTGCTTCTATCTCTTAAGCCTATTTTCTGAAAACAGAATATCCTACATTTTTGTCTGTCAGCTATGTATTTATATAAGTAGATAAGAAAGCAAAAAAGGAATATCCCTTCCTTGGGAATCTCTGTCTTGAAATATAATAGAGTTTTCATGTGTCTCAGAAGCAATGAAGTTAATTTTGTATTATGTATGTCCTTTAACACTACTTCTGGGGTGGTGGGATTACTTTTTAATGAAATTTGCCTTATCTTTTGGGAGCAGAACTTCTTGAACTCTACCTTGCATATTCAGTTTTATTTATTTCATTAGGGAACATGATCTATATCTGAAACCAGATCTTAGACACAGAGTCAGATTTTCATTGCTTGTTTGGATACTTCAGTAGGTTATAGAGCTAGAGCAATGAGGATTTTGTTTCTTATTTTGTATCTATTTCTTACATATCCATAGCTTTTATTTTCTATCTGTAAAACTAAAAATTTTATTCTATTTAAAATTCTTATTTTATTTTTACAGATTAAAAAATAAACTGTCTCTTGAAAAACGTTATACAGAGGAACCAGCACAGTAAATGGAAAGGAAAAAAAAAAAAAAGGTTTTTGAGAAGTATCTTACAAATTAAGTTTTAAAAGCCTGTCTAAGCCCTGCCAGAGACTGGTTAATTAGACCATTCTGTTACAAGGATTTTTTATGTAAGGTCAAATTCAGCTTTAAAAGTATGTGATTCTTGGGGCGCCTGGGTGGCGCAGTCAGTTAAGCGTCCGACTTCAGCCAGGTCACGATCTCGCGGTCCGTGAGTTCGAGCCCCGCGTCGGACTCTGGGCTGATGGCTCAGAGCCTGGAGCCTGTTTCCGATTCTGTGTCTCCCTCTCTCTCTGCCCCTCCCCCATTCATGCTCTGTCTCTCTCTGTCCCAAAAATAAATAAACGTTGAAAAAAAAAAATTTAAAAAAAAAAAAATAAAAGTATGTGATTCTTTATCATTTTTTCTATTGGGAATCACACAGCTGTTGCTATATGCTACTGATAAATTAGGGGTTCATAATGTGAAAAATAGATGTCCAAGTAAGCCTGGTGGTTTACTCCATAATAAAAAATTGGGCATCTTGTGAAGAGGAGAGAACAATTAACTAAAAAAAGTAGCTAAAAACTATAACACTACCTTGCCAGTTGGAGCAAAGTAACTGGGCTTATTTGAAAATTGGAAATAGTATAGTTTTCATGATTACTGTTAAATGTATTTTTAAGTTCTTCATGATGATTATGCCTAACACATTAAGAGTGTCTTCTAGACTTTATTGACATTGACTTCATTTGAAAGTTATAGACCGTTTCCCAGAAAAATGGGCATATGCCAGAATATTTTGTGTTTTTTTTCCAAGGAGTTTGTACCAGTTATAGAATGCGGTTTGACACCTTGCCAAATGAATTTGCCATTATTTATTTACATTTGCTTCTTTTGAGGCTAAGTAGCTAATAGTGTTCTAATCTATGATCATTAATATTTACTGAGCACCTAATATGTGTCTGGCACATAAATGAGTATGACTGGTTCCTGATAAAAGTTCTGATACTGGTAGGGAAAAGTTTTAAGTAATACTGTAAGAAGATAGGCTCCATTTTCCTTAAGAATGTTATTGAAATATTACTTTTATTTACTGAGAAGTATTCTAAGGGTAGGAAACATTCAGCCATTTTTCATTATTTATACCTTTTATCACCCACTTACAAAATAGCCCCACTTTGATAAAGAGTAGATAATCCATCGTCATAACCTTTAAATTCTACATTCAGTATATTAGAAAGGAAATCTATTCCCATATGTGTTGATGAGTATTTGCAAGAACACTAATACTTCCAAAGAGGAATTTTAGGACGTGGGGCTTCAGTTTTCTCTTTTGCAAACTGAGGTATTGAACAGAATGGCCTTTAGGATCTGTCATTCTGTAGAGTTACCCCAGGATTTTGCATTCTTATTTGTTCCATCTGTGATTATGTACTTTAGTAAGATTTGACAGGGATTAATATAGTCAATATTTTTTAAAATACTGAAATTTAAGGGATGCTTATTAAGGATTAAGTCAGTTTTAAAATGTATGTAGATGATATACTCATCCACTGTGTTTAGGGTTTTAATTTTATAAAAATTCTTTTTAAATTTAGGAACAAGAGTTGAACGCTCGTGCCCGGGCCCTACAAGCTGCATCTGCCTCATGTTCATTTCGGCCCAATGGATTTGATGACAATGACCCACCAGGAAGCTGTGGACCAACTGGTGGAGGGGGTGGAGGAGGATTTAATACTGTTGGCAGACTCGTATTTTAATCCTGAGAGAATCCAAAATGCACTGGTCACAAAACATCTATTACTATGACTGTTAAAATGTCAGATTGTAACAAATATCATACCTATCTTTTATTTTTCTTTTCATTAGACCCTTTTACTTTAAGAAAACACACTCAGTGCTTGTTTTTATTTTCTTGACAATACATTTATTAACAGATGCATCATGGGAAAAAAAAACTACCTCTTAAAATTCCATTTACTTTTATGGTTAGACATGCTTGACCAAAAATTTTCAGAGGAAAGTATGTACCTGGTCCCTAATTAAGCTGCATTAAATTTAGTAGAGGCATTTAAATGATCTCATTCTCAGTTTTACTAAACAAAAAGTATAACTCATTTAGCCTCTTTTATAAAAGAATTGATGCTAGAAATGATGGAAAAAATTTTGTTTCCTGTATATTACCCCATTATTAAATTCAGATCTCTTAAAATGCTAAAGATAATACAGTCTCTAATGAAGGCAATAACATAAAATTTATCAACTATAGTACTTTTCAGGTTTTTGTTTAGTGCTGTCCTCAGCATCACTGTATCTGCATTTCAAGTACACATGTTTTAAAAAAGGATTATTTATACATATATGCTGAATTGATTTTAAGAAAGGTGCATGATCCTGTAGAAACAACATTTTTACCTAAAAATTGCTAACTTTGTAGTATTTCTAATTGTTTAAGGATTTTAAAATTCTATTTCAGGGAGTATATCTTCTCTGTGTTTTGAAGGAGGTGAGTTCTGTATGTGCCTTGCAGTACTGTAATTCAAAAATAGGAATCTTTGGCTGCGGAAAAGTTTTTTAAAAATGAAATGTTAGGAAGTAATTTTTTGTGTTAATATTAAAATTATAACTTTTTGAAAGGTATTAGATTTTCCTGAAGTAAAATCTGATGGTTCTAAATCAATAAGTGTGATAGATTATTTTTAAATCTTAGAAGAATTCCGAGGAAATGAACCTAGTCAAGTAAAAAATCTTTGATTTTGTTAATCTTCAGATTATTAAACATCAATTGCATATTTCTAGAGTTGTACATTTGGTGTTTTTTTTTTTTTTCCATTTGAATCTTGTGTTTTGCACAGTTGTTTCTGTCTCATAGTTTCAGATAAAACGGTAAAATGTCAGACCCTACTATCCCACATTTTCTTTTACCAGGGAATGGGAAACAAGTCAGTTCTCCTGGGTCTCGATTGTACATATTCAAGAGTTATCCCAGTTGTCCCCTTTCCTAAAGGTTTTTAACTTATCCATGATTGTACAATCATTGTTCTGAAATTGGTCTCATATTTATTTTGAAAACATTTTAAGGAAAGACTGTTCTTTGGTGATTTGGAGTTTATCTTTTTCCCAAACTTTTTTTTTTTTTTTTTTTTTTTT